AGCAGGAGCACCTCAATGTGTGCATCACCATGTGAAAAAGGCTGGGAAACACTGAGTTAAGGGACTAATTAGAAACACTGCTGAGGGGCACCTGAGTGGCAGTCAGTTGAGCCTCCAACTCTTGACTTCGGCTCAGGTCTTGATCCCAGGGTCGTGGGATCATGGGATTGAGCACCGCATGGATGCTTAAGACTCTCTGTCTCTCTCTCTCTGCCCCCTCCCCCCACTTGCACACGTGCGCTCTCTCTCTCTCAGAAACAAACACACAACAACAAAAAAACCCTGGGTTAAAGGACTAATTAGAAACACTTCTGAAAAGAACTAGAAAGAGACTGAATGTCCATAAAAAAGATGAACCTCCTCATGTACCAACTAGAAAATCTTCCAAGACACGTAAGTGAAAGCCAGCAAGATCCAGGCAGTATGTAAAACATGCTACCATCCACGTAATAAGGAGCATACACACACTTCATGGATTACCTATGCATACGGTACGCCTTTACGGGTACACCACAGTGGCTGGCCCTGAAGGGAACCCAGGAGGTAGAGATGGAGATGGGAAAACTTATCCCAATGAACCCACTGAACTTCTGAATTTTAAAGCATGTGACGGCATTAAATTTTTTTGAATTCTATTTTAGAGGAGGAGAGAAAGTGGGTAAGGGAGGCAGGGAGGGCAAGGGGAAAGGGAAGGGAGAGAGGGAGAGAAAGAGAGAGAGACAGTCTCAAGCAGGTTCCACACTCAGTGCAGGGCCTGACGTGGGGCTCCATACCTACAACCCTGGGATCATGACATGAGCCGAAATCAAGAGTTGGCACTCAACCCGACTAAGCCACCCAGGGCCCCCCAATAATTTTTTTTAATGTTTATTTATTTTTGAGAGAAAGAAAGACAGAGTGTGAGCAGGGAAGGGGCAGACAGAGAGGGAGACACAGAATTCAAAGCAGGCTCCAGGCTCTGAGCTGTCAGCAGCCCCGATGCAAGGCTGGAACTCATGAACTGTGTGATCATGACCTGAGCCGAAGTCAGACGTTTAACCGACTGAGCCACCCAGGCACCCCAATAAACTTTTTAAAGTTGCCAAAACCACCTATGCCTAGTAATGACTATTTTCTATGCAAAACACCTTTATGACTAAGTCAAATGTTGGGTTAAAATAAGAAAAGCAAGATCTGGTTGCTGGTTACCCAGCTATGTTCTCTTTGTGAAAATCCACTGAGCTCTACACTTAATTATGATCTGTGTACTTTTCCACAGGTATAATATACCTCAATAAAAAGTCAAACATAAAATGAAAAGGTTACTTAGGTCAACTGTCTTTTTGTTCCCTTATTAAAAGGCCAGTATATGTCATTTATTTGCCTAAAAAATTGTTTCAAATTGTTCAGCAATGTTCCTCAAAAGCAACCTCCTATGACTGAGATGTCATGCCGAGCCCGTGTGACAAGGGGGCTCAGGTCTGCCTGCTCTGCTTCTCCATCAGTAGTAACGGCCTCCAGTCCCACATTCTCACTCTGGGCTGGGAGGGTTCAGTAAGCACTGAGGAGCATTACTAAAAACCACCTTATGGTTTACTGCATTGCAATTACATTTTTAAATTATGAAAATGAAAGTATTTAAAGACTTATCAAAAATGCCAAAGTCACAAAGGATGCAGATGGAGGCTGTGCAAACAGTCCAGACAGAAGGAGGCTACCTATAGAGGCGTGACCGTCAAATCCAACACCTGACCCGAGGCTGCTTCTGTGATGGAGAAGGGAGAACTGTTACCCAGGACTTTGCTACATAAACAGGTAAAATCAGAAAATAAACGGCAGGTTGAAGTCTCCGTGTTGAACTGAACTTAGGCTATACTATGGTCATATGAGAGCATTTCCCCACTCTTAATCAAAATACAGGGGCGCCTGGGTGGCGCAGTCGGTTAAGCATCCGACTTCAGCCAGGTCACGATCTCGCGGTCCGTGAGTTCGAGCCCCACGTCAGGCTCTGGGCTGATGGCTCAGAGCCTGGAGCCTGTTTCCGATTCTGTGTCTCCCTCTCTCTCTGCCCCTCCCCCGTTCATGCTCTGTCTCTCTCTGTCCCAAAAATAAATAAAAACGTTGAAAAAAAAAATTAAAAAAAAAAAAAAAAAACAAAATACAATTGATGTTAGTTAAAGTAAAGGGCCACAATGTTAAGTTACTCTTAAATGAGGGACAGGTCTATGTCCCTGTATGCGGGAACAGGGGGAGACTAAGCAGCAGTGGCAAATGATCATGAGAATAGGGTAAAATGTTAACAGGTTAATTTGAGTCCAGGGTGTGTGGATGTGCTTTGTGTTGGTTTTTTTTCTGTGAAATTAAAATTACTTCCAAATAAAGTCTTTTAAAACCATGTATTAATAAATTACTACCAATAAGAATCAAAACAAGCTTAGAAATGAATCTGGATTTTGATTATGACAGTTGCCTCTCATGACGCATTTTAATGCCAAGGCACTATTTCAATTTGCAAAAAAAAAAAAAAGTAAAAATTACACCTTCTGGCTAGATTTATAAGAGCTAAATAAGTACCTTCCAAGACCTAAAGCTTAACATAATTGTCTTTAACATAAGACTCCACCTCAGTAATTTCTCATAATGTGAACCTTAATGGAGAAACTAGATTTACAGGAAGTTTAATAAAAGTTCTCATCCACACGAGGGATTAATCTCGCTTGAGTGGCAAACACAATGATAAATCCTAGCTAACGATGTAGGTTAAGAGCACTTAAAGCCCTACCAAAAAAGAAAACAGAAATCAAAGGTCTAATAAAATGGTACATGTCCCAATAGATCTAATTCTTAGAAATGACAATGATGAAGGACTACACATGAAAGGCAAAACTTTAAATTTACAGAAAAACATACGGGAGACAATTCCCATCCCTCCAGGAAGGGAAAATTTCTTACATAAAAAAGCACAAGCCATACAGGAGAAGAATGAGAAATTAAACTACACTCAAAACTCACAATTTGCATGTGAAGTAAAGCCACATTTAAAGGGAAAGGACGAGTCACTTTTGGGGAGAGGACAGGCCCCTGCAAAAGGAGCTCACAAACTGGCAGCACCCAGGAAAAGCTCTGTCGTCATCAGGCCTGTAAACACATGGAGAGTAGCAGCGACACCACCCAGAGCTGACTGTCCCCTGGCTGCACACATGTCCTCCACACCCCCCAGAGATCCTAGGGACAGGGAACTGGCCAGGGAGGGAGCCTCCTCTCCACCAGATCCCTTTAACTAATAAAATCATTCACCAGGTGCCTCCAGGCAAAGAGGTGGCCTCCAGTGTCCAGAAAGGAGGATCCTCAGCACCCAGGTTCAGGCCTTAGAGAACTTTGGCGATTACAAGAGGACAGCCCTAAAACTACCTCCCAGCCCCTGAAGCCCTAGGACAATACTTTCTAACAACATCCTGGCACTAATGCTAGCTGAGAGTTCTGGATAAACAAGACGCTGGCCCCAGCGACATCTATCTAGCAGGATGTTAAGATATAACAGCGCCACGACACTAAGACACAGATTGTTAAAAATTCACTCTCAAAGGTAGGCCTATTGTCTACAATTCAGCAGGACGGCTAGCTTCTCAGAGATCAGGGAGAGAGAGGGTAAAACATTCCAAAATACACAAGGCACTGCATGTTTTAACTATAATGAAGCATGTTAAGGTTACAACTACTAAATTAAGGATGGGAGGAAATGCAGAAACACTGCCAGCTGTATTCTTAAAACTGCATGACATCCCCAAATAGTTTCCTCGCTGCAAAAATCCAATGCAACAGAAACCCCCGCTAGATCCAGTGAGGAGGTCGGGGGG